TGCCTTGCTCTCCTCCTTCTCGCCCCGTCCTCCGAAATCCACCCGTGCTCCCCTTGCCTTGCACCTTATTCGTTCCTGAGAGCTCCCCCTCCCTGCTTTCCAGGGGAGCGGGCAGCTGCGGGGCGCAGAAAGTGGTGCAAACCGGGTAGGGGGAATTGCCGGGGGACGGAGACCGTGGTGAGTTTTTATTGGTGTTTATCAATGGGAAACCAGTGGAAAACTAGCGCAGAGATTATCAAGACAAAGTGTCAGGTAGCGCTGTATGAGAAAATAGGCATCCTTTCTTGCTGGAAGATTTTCCTGTTCACTGCAGACTATGTGCAGTTTTGTTAGTCGGTATTAAAACGGTGATGATGATAATACCTGAAAAATCTGCTTATTGTTGCAGATGGGCTAGAAAGCGAGGGGAGAGCCTTTATGTAATTAATTGCTCGAGTTGTTTCAGAAGCACTGCTTCTAACTTCAGTGGGTTTGCGGACAGAAACAGCCCTTTGATAAAGCCTGTCCTTCCCTTGCTCGTTCTTTACCCTCAGCTCCGCATTTGTGTTGTGGAGATGGGGGGAGGCAGCGTTGCTTGTTTGTTTTAAATCTAGATTAATGCCGGGGTTTTAATACAAACATGAACCTGTCTTCAGGAGTTGACATCACTGAGGAATCAGCCAATTGGTTGACGTTTAACCAACCTTCTTTTTACACATAAACCCCATCAAAGAGTTGTTTACACTAATGTTCTTTTGAAATGCAAATCCAGAATGCCAACAGACTGAAACTCAATTTAGATTAATGTAATTACCTGCAATACACAAATGAGACTATACTATTTAATAGCCTTCACTTAAACCTTTTTAGAAGATCAGAAAGACTCCTATTGTTGAAGTTTAGTACTACAACAATTAAAAGATGCCTCTTTGTATTTTCGTATTGCCTTTTTGCAGAAGCTTGTGGTTCTGCTTTGGTACTCCAAAATGAAAATACCTGAAATAATTACAACTCACATGGAAAAAAAATAACAATGTTGTTATGCGTTAGGTGTGCATCTCATAGGGAGATTTTTGGTTTTGCCTCTTTCTTCTAAGAGATAATTTTTCTGCAGAAAAATAATCGTCTCTCTTGTTTTAGGCTTTAAAGAAGTCAATGCTCCAACCATTACCCCACCTCGCAACCAGCCCAAAAGATCCAAAAAACGCCATGCAAATTTAACGTTGGATAAAATGATGGAAAAATTCCTTCAGCAGAGCGTGGATACAGAAGAGAAATTTTACAGATATGAAGAGCAGAGGCTCAAAATTGAGGACAAACGTCGGGAAGCTGAGCATGCTCGAGAGCTCCAGATGTTACAGATGTTGGGACAGATGTTGGCAGGAATTTCTTCTACGGTATCACAAAGGTCACAATCTATACCAGCGAGTCCACCTCAGAGGACGAACCATCGTTCGTATGGGGATAACTTTAATTATAATGCTATGACAGCAGCACTTTCTCCACCGATAGGTACTTCCTTCTATAGCATAAATAAAAGCTAGGTTTTTTTAAACTTCTGTGTGAAAGCCCTGGTAGTAAGTAGCTCTTGAAAATAAAAGCTAATTGGAATTACTTAATACTGCGGTGAAGGTGTCTGTCTGATGGAAAACGAAATCAAAACGTCATTCGTACCATTGTACTGATTATTTAATATAGATATGTTAGTTATAACGAGTTTTAATGAGTGAAATCACACCTTTTGAACCCTGTAAACATCAGGGACTTCTTTCCACATTCATGGCTCTGAAAATTGAAGTTAGAAAAAGTTTTCTGTATAAAAGGCCAGTAGCAGATGCTTGCTGAAAACTCTTCGGAAACATTAGGTACCTTGTAGCGGAAATTCTGCTGTTGTTGAAGTTACCAGGTTTAACCCAGTATATGAAGTTAAGGCTGTGCATGTGTGGTTTTAGCATTGGAAGAAGAGTGGAGTTTTGCCTACACTGAAGTAAATCAAATGTTAAAATCCATCTTCTTCTAAAATAAATTTTGTTAAATCAATTCTGAATCATATCTTCTAATTGAACATCATATTATTGTAACAGGTGTAATATAAGATGGAAGTACTGGTATATATTTTTCTTCTATACCAGTTCATTTATAAATTCTTCGGGCATCTGAACTTATTTTAAAGAAAAAGGTGAAGCAGTAACTCTGGAATTGGTGTTTATGCAGACTTTTGCTTCTATACCTTGTGCATGGGCCAGAAGCTGATAATCTGATATTAGCGTTTATTAATGGACTTCTCGGGATCTGTGGCTCCGTCACGTTTATCTTTATTATAGTCTCTTTATATGTAGAAGCAGACTGCATGGGAGGAGGAAAATGGGGATACACTGTTAGTGTTGAAACCAGAGTCAGCTTGGGGCTTGGTGGTTGTAGCCTGCTGTATGGAAATTAAGCAAGTCTTGTGCTGTTTTAATTCTGAATTTCACACTGCTTGGAGTGAAAAAGCATGATTTGAAAAGAAAAAGAAAACACCCAGCCTCAGTGCTGAGTAATAATCCAGCATGCCATATCCTGAAGGGCATCCTCTGGTTCCCAAGAGGATCTTTGAGCCTTTTCTTTTTCTTTCCCTGTAAAATGCACTGGGGACTGGATGGTTAGGCCTGTTGAGGGTTTAGGCTGACTGACTTTGCTATGTTTCTTCTTGACTAGGTAGTTGGTCTGTAGCATTCCTTGATGGCAGTAGACTTTCATAGATAGATTGTGGCATACATGTGGATTCTGTGTTTTAAATGTTGTTTTTACTTTATAAGGGAACCTAAAGTGCTTTAGAAAATCCCCAAGGAAGTCATTTGAGGTTCTAGACTGCGGTGATGGTGCCTACAGGGCCTTACTATTACTTCTGAAAGTTGTTTTGCTGAAATATTTTCGTTATCTGTTAAGACATGAATTTCAAGTTAAGTTTTTCTTGCTGGATTTTGTCATATAGGTGTACAACCATATTATACTATGCAAAAACACATTATGTATTTTTAACTGTAGCAAGATTAACTTGGGATTCTAATCTTCTAATTGGTCAAGGTGTGACAAAGTGTTTAAAATAAAATGTGAAAATAATGCTTCAGGCCGCAGATCTTTTAAGGAATTAAGATTTCAGTTGTTTATAGCTAAATATGCCTTAGAGTAGGTAAGAGTGGGGCTCTATTAAGAATTGCTTTTTGCATAATTCTCTATTTTCTTCCCATTTATTGTGCAATCACTTTATATTTGCATGTAAAAAAGCAGCAACAAAGAAACAGAGGACCTTGACACTGCACTTTAAGAGTTACAAGCTGTAGGATAAGCCTATTTCTTGTGTGGTTGAAAACCAGTGAGTCTATGAAGTGTGGCCTGCTGAATTTTAGAGCGATTTAAGGAATATAATCTGCCTGATTTCCAGAGGAGATGAGCGTTTTGTTCTCCTCTGGGTCACTGTAGTGCTATTTTGGCCATAATCCAAAACAGGCTGGGTTGGTTGGTTGGGGTTTTTTTTTTTCCCTTTTCTTCTATGTACCCCCTCTCCGCCCCCTTTTTTTTTTACTCAGCCAGGAGTAGTTGTCGTTATTGAATACTACAGAATTTTATTTCTGAAGATTAGCATGTCTGGTTTAGGTTTAGATTCTGTGCAAAATAGAGAAAATGATGCTTTGTGCTGGTAGCTCACAGATGCAGAGTTGTCTTGTTTACTACTTTTTTTACCCATTATTATGTCCAGTAGTTCAGGAACAGGTCCATCTGTCCATCCTCTCTGTCCCCCGTTCTGATTTTGGAGTTGCAGGGTGAGATTACTAAGTTTTATACAGCTGAAAATAAGGAGTATAGTGGGAGTTATTTTTTACTATATAGCAGTTTCTTGAAAGCTTTTTAGAAGATGTGTGAAAAAGAAAGCACAGCTACGGTCTAGGACAGTAATGTTCAAATAAACTGCTGTTCTCAGTAGAATTGTGCAGTTAGTGAAGAGCTTTGTTGATATACAAGAACTTACTCTTTTAGTGTATTTACTGCTATTTATAGTTAATACGTTGTTAAAAGTATTGATCTTCGGATTTGTCTTTTGTTAGGTAAATGGTTTAATTCTCTTTAGCCGTAACTGTTGAAACACCTTTTCTTTCTGGATTTTTGTAGTCTTTTGAAGCAGTAGTTGGAGTATATAGGCTTCTGAGTGTGCAGTTGTTTTAATGTGTAGCTTGACGTGTGGCTTTGCATCAGAGATCTGCAGTTGTATGATAGCTAAAACTCTCTGTGATATTTGTAATGTTTACATCTAGAGCGTTGGATTATAGTTTTGAGGAAAGACTTTCATTATGCTTTGTAAGCACCTGTCAAAATAAAAAAGCGGTGAGATAGACCCTGATTCTGCTCATAGTTGGAAGTCTTTAAGGGGAAGGAAAAAATAAGGTAGGGTGTATGTTTAAAATGTGGTTATAGTTGCTCTGTGCTTGCCCTGTGTCTGGATGTGTTTAGTCCTTCATAAGTGTACTTATTTCAGTCGAGCTTAATTATGGAAGTGATTTCAGGCTGAACTAAGAAGATATTTCTAGTTACAACATGTTCATGTAACTATTCTGGGCTGTTGTTTCTTTCTGTACCTGAGCCCTAAATTAGGACTGTGAGCAGTCAGCGGGAATATTCTCTGCATCAGACCCTAAATTAATTTTTGAAATGTTCACCTTCCCTAGTTACTTATTGTTTTAAAGGCCTTTAAGTGAAGCATTTGGTTTTTAGAAGTATGTCTTTGAGTGATTTTATTAGTGTGTATGAGTGCTTTAAAGAAATGCTGATGGTAGTTTAAGAAAGAACTTTCTTACAAGTAACAATTATTTTCTTCTTTTCAGTTATAGAGAGATCTTTTTCACTGCACAGAACACACTCTCTAAAGGATATGGAGAATATTTTTCAACTGGTGCGCAATGTTATCCCTCCCCTAACAGGGAAAAGGCATAAAGGTCAAGATGGACGTATAGGCATTGTTGGAGGATGTCAAGAGTAAGTTAAACAGAAATTTGGGGGTTATTTCTGAGAGAGTTTGAGGATGTCATAGGTACTTGTGGAAGCCATTCGAACTCACCTTACGTTTAAAACATGAGTATATTCCAGGGAGCTTTGTTAATCAATTGTGACCATGCATTCTTGCAAAAGAACATGTTTCCCTGTGTTGTGTTGCAAATTTTTGATAATGAATGTGGTCGAAGCTTATAATGCTGTTTGTTTCCGTGTCTACCTTCTCCATCTTTCTTGTCCACCAGACTCTCTCTGCTTTCAGTGTTAGTCTTTTCCCACTGCATGATGAAGTTCTAGAGTAGAGTAAGACAGCATTACATCTTTTGTTGTTGTTGTTATATATATTTTGGTATCTTGAGAACTTGGTCTCTTAAATCAGGAGTAGAAAATTCTCTTACTGTGCCCTTTTGATAAATTGTGGTAGTTACTAGGTTCTGTCATTACTTTGTTTTATGTTCTGGAGTGATGAAAATAGCGTGTTACAGGGGAAAAAGAGATACAGCATGAATCAGTTAAATGCTGTACTGACCTAGAAATAAACTAAGCTCTATTCTTTTCTTGGCCACATTCAGTAATCTGCACAGTACTTTGAATGAGCTATTACACCTTCCTGTTTTTCATTTTTCCCTTTTGAAATAGAGATGGCATCTTTCTTCTGTAAGAGAGATCTGCTGTTGGACATCTGCCATTAATAAACATTCTGTAAAGAGCACACAGGTGCTGTCTTACAGCTGAATTGATTAGCCAGGAGTTAGTTTTCCTGTTGGTCTAATGCACTTAAGTTCTTGCCTCTTGGCAGAGGTAAGCACCTATGGAGGGTGATTCTGTCTGTATCTCTCTCTTCAGTCTTCATAAAGAGGATTTAGGGCAACTGGAATCACAGTTTAGGCACTTTAGTTAAGCATCTAAAACCAGATGAGATTGATCCGGGTCACAGATCCTCGATTTGGCTTGCAAACAGTGTTCCACTCTTGTTTTGTTTTTTTAGTCTCTAAACTTTTCAGCTGTCTGTCTGAGAAAAGTTTGCTTTTTTTATGGTGTGATCTTTATAAATATTTCTCTGAAAGTATCTGCTGGCCATGGTGAAGTCCTGCACTTTCCCAATTGGAGCACTGTTTCAGATTAGCTTCAGTATAGAAAGATTTTATCTTTCACAGCAAACAAAAGAGAAAGCTTCTTTTATAAGCTTGCTGTTGAATTTGAGACTTCATTATGGCAGGATAGATTATTTAATGTCATGACTATGTTTCCTAACCTAAATTGTATTTCATTCTAGATACACTGGAGCACCGTATTTTGCTGCGATTACAGCTCTCAAAGTGGTACGTGTTCTTCTATACCATCATTTATGTTAGCTAAGTGCCATCTTTTTAAAAGCATTTGTTCTGTGTTGCACATGACATCTGAGTTTTTAAAGGTCTTCTATTTAACAAAGAAAATCCTTACTCCTGGATTTATAGAAATACTTTGCAAATAGGTCATTTTCTATGTTTTCTGTAATGTTTTCTCTATATAAGATGAAGTTAGATATATGTCAAAAAATGGAAAATTTCAAAGGCAGAATTATTTTATCAGAGACCTGGATAGGAAATTTCAAAACTTGATGAAATATTTTCCTCAAAATTATATATAAAAAATAAAATAACTTCAGGTTAATGTTTAAAGTTATGTTTTCAGTGCTGTGGTCAGTTCATCGGAATGTTTGTCTGGATTTTTTTCTGTGATGAATGAAGTAATTTTCTATTTAAACTTACAGCTTTAGGATAGTAAAATTCTTACTGTAACTCTAAAGATTGTTGAATTTCATATAAGTTTTAGTAGCACGTTTTATTTGCATTATAATATTCAGTATTTTCTAAGTTTGGGGTTTTTTCCCCCCAGAAGTGTGAGCTTCTTTATTTTAATGACATATTTACTGAATACAAATATATTCACTGTAGGCTACCTAAATACAGTGGTGATTATGCAAATGTAAACAAATCATGCTCACACAGTACATACACTTTTCAGTACTGTCTATATAGAGTGTCATTACTTGCAGTTCACTGTCCGTGTTTTTCTTCTTGAAGATCTGTTTCAATAAGTAGGTAACCAATCCAAGTATTTCTCACTCCACCTCTTCCTCCTCCCCCAGGATGCTGTCCCTTCAGGATTTCGAATTGAAATTATATTAGTTAATGATCTTATAGAAGATAAAAGGCCATTGTTCACTATGTGCAAAGACAGTATCATATCAGGATGTCCCCTGTTGAAGTCACTTGGTCTCAGGTCATTATATCTGCATTGCTTAGCAGCTTGAAATGTTAAATGTGTAGTAGTAAAGCAGAGGAGACACTTTCTTAACCTTGGGAAATTTCAATATGCAAGACACATACAAGATGAGGCTTTCTAGTCACTGCTTACACAATTTTTATGTGTGTGTCTGATTATTTGACTTGATAACAGAAACTTCAGGCTAAACTCCTCAGCTTTAATATTTATTTAACTTGCGCAGTGTTGTTGAAAGTGTGCCAGCCTTTATCTTGGATGGATTTGGACCATTGAGTAAAAATGGTAGGACTGGAAATGCACTCATAGATCGCTATAGCTATATTTTGCAAATATATTACAGTGTTATTTTTCCTCTCTAATGTAGATTGTCTTTTGTTCAGCTGTGTTCTTTTGCCTTTCCTCTTAATTTATGTGTGACATTTTAGTCTTTGCTCATCTGCAAATGAGAAATATTTCTCAAGTGAGTAAAGATTTGAGGTCTGTGTTTTCAGTCATCCTGTTGGTGAGAGGCAGAAAAAAATATACATTGGAAGTTAGATAAAAAAAAAAAATTCTGTAAAACATTGCACGGTAGTCTAAGCCAAAATAGAAAAAAAAAAAAAAGAAAAGTTTTCTTTAACTACAGAGAAGTAAGAATTCAGGTGAATTATTCACTGAGTAAACTTTGGAATGATAAAGTTACTATTAAGTGTTAATTTGATAATTCTGTTTGTAAATTTTCTTTTTTAGGGTGCAGATTTGTCCCATGTGTTTTGTACCAAAGATGCAGCAACAGTAATCAAATCATATAGTCCAGAGCTGATTGTTCATCCAGTTCTGTAAGTGACTTATCTTTTGTTTAAATGAGAAAGTTAGGATTACTAGTTTGAACATTTCAGTCTGACAGTTGACAGGTTTGTGTTCTTTGTTTTTCTGAGTTACAGGATGGGTGCGATAGAGATGACAAAAACTCCTGGGTTCTTCCTTTCATTACAAACAGATATTTAATATAGAACAATCAGATGTGAATTCTTTTCATTACTATCAAAATACAATCTTTTAAAAAGCAAAGATCTTGCTATTATTTGCTGACATGTGTTCTGTGATTGTAATGCATTTAACTGTGAAAGGTAGGAAAATCCAGAAGTAGGAATCACTAAAAGTCAGCATTTTAGAACCTGCATTTAAAAAGCAAATAGAGCATGTTCTTTTGCTTCTTCAATCCTAATAGTATTTATCAGCAGTGTATCTTTTTTCCTCTCATTAGTGTGTGTATAGTCATTTATGCAGAATTACTGAGCAAGAGAGATGCTGGTTCTTGTTTTTCTTCATAAGTATGTTGCATTAGATACACACCCATTCCTGGGAATAAATGGATGTTCTCAAATTATATTAAATACGAGACTTGTTAACAAGAAGATGAAAAGTTTAATAAGCAAGTGTCAGCGTGTGCTTCCCTGAATTTCTGTTCTGAAATACGTTACTGATTGGTGAATTTCTGCAGGATAAATTGCTTCAATTAGCTTTACAGTGAGCACTGCAAATGAGAAATTAAGATGTGTGCCATAGGTGTATGTCCCTGAGCTTAGCTTGCACCAGTGTGTGTCAGTCTGTCAGTGTACATGGCAAAGCTGTGATTAAGCTAGAAAAAGCGTAATCTAAAATTGTGTTTGTTAGATATTGCTGTCAGGATGGGTTTATGACAGTATAAATATTTGGTGTCCAAGAAGAAGAATATGATCTCCCTTATGGGGGTACTTGCAGTTGGAAGCCATGAGTTTTTTACATTCTAAAGGTGGGTTTTGTTCCTTTTGGTGTATGGGGTACTTAAAAAGAAGCCAGTTACACAGATAGCAAGGGTTGTATTTTTGTAAGGGTTTTTGGATGTGGTTTGGTTTTTTCGGTATTTTTTTATTTTTTTTTTTGCGGGAGGGTGTTTATGGTTGGGATTTGTTGTTTGTTGGTTTGGTTGGTCTTTTTCAAAGACAGAAGAAACCTGTGACTTCGTGGATTTTACACAGGGGAAAAATGTTTGAAAGCAGTGGGAAGACACAAGGGTAGGGTTTTTACGAGTCCAACTGCATTAGCCTCTAAAATCCAAAAGGCATGTTTTCAATTGGTGTTCTGTCTGATACTATATGATAACAAATGAGATGGAGAATCTTAATGGTGGTATTAGCTTCTAACTTAGGTTGTCTTAATGGGTGGCGCTTGGGATATACAACATATGGTTGCCGTGTATGGGAAGGAGTTGACGTTCTTGCCTTGGGAGAGACCTTTCTTATATACACAGGGTTCTTGATGTGAGTGGTAATGGTAAAGGTTAATAGGAGAAACAAAAGCAGCATAGAGAAAAAGGGAGGTGACAGTGTGTAAACAGTAACGTTTCTGTTCATGGAGGACCTGATTGTGCCTAGTAAATAAGGGTATTTTCTTACATAGGCAGATTCACAATGTCTTCTGCGGAATTCGGATCTCCATGAAAGCTCGAGTCTTTCTTTTGCAAAGAAAACTTTTGATCTTCAACATATAGCTTTAAGTCTGAAACTCAATGTTTAATACTTTCATTACAACTGATTAATTTCACCCAGACAGCTGGCTAATTGCATGAAGCAGTGGATCTATAAATATTGTTCTTACAGCATTCAAAATGAAAAAATGCAAATATCAGAATGTTTGGATTTGTTTGTTAAATTTTCTCATGTTTTTCTCTCTTCTAAAGAGAAAACAGTCTTTTCCAGTTAGAAGGCAAAAAATCTTGAGTGATTCTATTGAGCCCAGGTTTTATTCACATTTACACAAACAGCCTATTTTTTGTAAGGTCCTTTGTCTTCAGTGTCACAGTTTTCCTATGATCTTTTCTGCGTTGTGGAGCTGTTTGAGTTCTGCAGGCACGGCTGGCCGCTCTCGATTCAGAGCCTGATCTCTTAAACAGTCTTTGTACTTTCTCCCGGGCCGCACTTCATGCATGGGAGAACCTCCGGGTAAAACCCAGCGAGCAGCTACGTCATTGTTTTCTTTTGTGTCTCTCCTTAAAACTTTGCTTTGTTATGATTTCTCCATGACCCTTCAGAGTAAGTAGGTAGCTGTTGTACCGCTCTCTTATTATGCTAATCAAAATTATGGCCCCGTGTACTCCTCAACTCACTGAACAGCTTGGCATTTTGCCAGGGTTCAGCTGCCATTTTGTACTGCCAGGAGTCTGACATTTTATCATCTCCTCTGTGACTTGGCTGCCACTACCTTTCCCTGCTGCCTTCAGCTCGCAGGGGATCACCTCAAGGGAAGAACATGCTCTTTTTCTTCTGCTGCCCCCTGAACGTGAGGGCTCTTCTGGCTTGTTAGAGCTGCTGTCACAGATCTTTGGTGGCATGACTAGCTAAGGTATGTGAGAGCTAGAAGTTGCACTGTTGTGTTTCAGGTCCTTGGCAAATGCCTGTCACTCCAAGGATGAGAGGAATGTTGTGTGGGAAGGATTGAGTAGGACTGCAGAAGGAGGGTTATGAAAACAGGCATCCATCTTGCAGCATTGACAGGGCAATTCCATGTGGCCTCAGTTGCAGACCATCCTGGGATTCCTCTTGGTTTAACATCCTGTGCTGTGGACACCCGTAACACAGCTTTGTCTGTGGTTTTTCTCTCATGACTTCGTTCCCTGTTCTGGGAGTGAAGGTAAGGGAGCTGGGACTGCACGTGGGATCTGGAAGGACAAAGCTTCAGTACCTGTCTCTCTGCTTCCTCACCACCTGAGCTGAATAATGGTAGCTGGGTGGTTAGGGGCCATGGACAGTCAATATTAGAAATTGTACCTTTTTTGTTTTATTCAGGGGTTCTGCCAAATGCGTAATGATCCCTTTCATGATGACTTGGTGTTAGTGAAAGTATTAATTAAAAATTGACCAGCTAACCAGTTCAGTATTTTTGCTGAGTGATTTCAGCTTCCTGTGGAGAAGTGAATAGTGTGTATTGCGGAAGTTGGGTCTTTTGAGCAGTGGAGTATACTGAGTCTGCCTTGCTTTTCTCACCACTACCCCTGGTTTGTGCGACATCTCTGTTTTCTCAGCTAACATGCTCCTAAAACTCTACACAAATACAAAGTAAAACATAGCTTTTGCATTTTCTAAGTTTTATTGCAGGCAGTTTCTGTGTGGATTTCTGCTGGAGATGTGTATATACTTTCTTACATTAGTGTTGGGAACTTTCTAGAGAACAGTTTTCAGGGTCTTTTTCATATTCCCCATGTTAATTCCCTGGTTCAGGTCAGGCTGAACATCAGACTTCTTGACTACTTTGTTGGGTTAGTTTATTCTGTCTTGATAGGTGAGTGATCACAGACTTAAAGTGACCTATATGAAACCAGTTGGTTATATTTTAAAAGAAGAGAGTATAAATATGTGACACAATAAATATTGTGTTAGATTCTCTTCTTACAAGGGCTTTTTTCACAATCTTACAGTTTTTCTTCCTCTGTAGCACAGGAAAGATTGAGGTACTACTGAGCAGTTCACTTGTAACCTGGGTGTCAGATAATTTGTGAAGTCAACAGTTGATAAATTCCTTGATCTCCAGTTTTATGTAGAATGACATACTAGGTCATTAATTTCTTGTGGTTCTGAAGAAATCACGTAATTTTTCCATTCTCTCCAAAGCCACCCTTGAACTAGGTATGGATTTAGAACTGATGCCTTCCTCTCAGCTGGTTGTATCTATAGGTCTGTATGGACTAGGAGAGATTGCCAGAATTACTGAAAGTCTTACAGTTAATTGCAGAGTTTGAGGTTTGGGTTGGATTTTGAAAATACCATTCTTTTCAGTTTGAAATAAAAATAACTGGGGAGAAAACTCTTAAGAAGGCTGGCCTGTGTTGAGGCCAGTTACCAGTAATGAAGAAGCTTACACCAGGGTTGCTGGAACATAATTTATCTATTTTTACTGGATTTTGTCTATGTTTTGATGATTTGAAAAATATCATGAAAGTGGATCATGGATAATGAGCTCCTGATAAGTTATTTGAATATTTTCAACCACTGTCAACTCTCTTATTAAAGAAAGCCCAGGAACAATCTTAAGATTTTTGGCTCTTCCTAATTCATTATGTGGAGAGGAGATTTTAAACTATTACTTCTTTGTGGGAGAAAGTTCATACCTTTTAGTTGTGTTAGCTAAGGATAGCGATTAAACGCCTCTTCTGTGTAACAGGGGACTAACCTCTCTTTTAATTCAACTGCTGGAAGAAGCACAAGAATTATTGTCACTAGGGAAAGTTAAGGAGAAAGCACAGATTATCAAAAAGATGCCTCGCAAGTGACTTGGCTACTGGATCCCTATTAAACCTGCAGAGAAGGTGCAGGCATGTACTTTATTGCTCTCCCAAATTTCATTTAGACAGCAGCCTGGCTAGGAATCCCATGAGAAAGTTCTTGGGTTTTAGGTTTGTCTTGTTTTGTTTTTTTCCCCATAGTACTTAGGGAGAGCTAAAGGTCAGTTTGTATGTGCTGACTCAGAGAAGTATACTTAAACTGTTCCTAATCCTGTTGTGCAGTGCCATATATATGTATTGCCAGTGTCTGGCTTTGTTGGGAAAAAGCTGCTGCTGCTTTGTTGTATGCTGAAGAGTGAATAGTACAAAACACAGGAGGTATATTCACCCCCTACTGTAGTCCTTTTCTTCTTCCCTGTTGTTGCAGAGTTCCTTATCCCACGTGATACTAACAGCAGTTTTGCCACCTCCTCAAAATGCAGTAAGTATCCAAAGATTTTTAACATCACTGCGGGGAGTGCTGCTGTTCTTGCTGCTTTCTGATATGTCAGAAAGAGATGTTTATGTGTATACGAGCATTTTA